TGGAGCTATGACGTCACATGTGCTAACACTCGGCGTCCGTGCCTGAGAGTATTTCAGCCAACCACACTGGCCGAATCTTGAGCGCGTGCGTCGTTGTGCCGAAGGCGCGGCCGACCCAAGCTTCGTCGTTGCTCCAGCCTGAGGTGCACGTCAGCCGGCAAACTGTACCAGGCGATGCTCGACTGCTCGGAGGTTTCTAGATTGCGTTCTCTTAAGATTGGAGTCGAGCACAGAAAATCCTAAAAAGATTTTTTGAAGTTTTTGCAGGAGTTGCGGTGGGAGGGTCCGTCTTCCGACACGGACACAAGATCTTTGCGCATCTGGGGCCTGCAGGAGAAGCTAGTTTCCTGAGCGGTCCCTAAGAGGCCGTTCGCTTTGCGGGCTTCGATCGTGCCGGACGGCTTCTGGGCAAGGGCAGCCGCACAAGTGAGCAGCCGAATGGCAGGTGCCCGCAACCTCCATCCTCGAGCTCCAGCATTCAATGGAAGACCCGCCGCAGCACTTCTTTTCATACTTGACTTTGCGGCGGAAAGGAACAGAGACAGGCTGCATGGCATTCAGCGACACACGGCTGGCATCATGCCCCTAGGGATGAACATGTCCGTTCAAGTTTGTGCCCCAAACCCTGCTCTACTTGCAAACCAAGCACCGAGACATCAGGCCCTAAACGTACCCGAAAAACGGAAATCCAAGCTCGGCACGGGCCGAGAACCAGCATCACGTGCCCATGCTTGTCATCCAAGGGTGCCATCACGGCGCCGATGTTCACCTGCAGCATGCCACGCGCAGACAATGGAAGTCTATATGGATCTCGGAACCCACGAACACAGCATTAGCCTTATTTGCCTTAGCGGGTAGCTTAGCTGGAGTATGAACTGCTGACCAGGATAGGAATCAGGAGGCGCGAGCTCCGCTTGCACAGTTTTGTGCGCGCAGCCACCGGTTTTTGCTTGAACAATTCACAAAGCAATTGAGGCGCTATCATGGCACAACGCAAAACTCGCCAGACGTGACGACACGTTGCCCATCGCTGCCCTGCATGCATGCTTTCAGCGCTTGTTCGCAGAACGCGTCCGTATCAAGATCCTTTGATCGGAAGTGGATGCCGCGCGAAACCACAAGGCTGACCCAGGGAGCTACTCCTCACGGCCCCACGGAGCAGTGGACACCGATTGCATTCAGGCGCACACAAAAGGTCCTCGCAAAGCCTGCGTTGTCACTACACCCTGAAACTCTAACTTGGAGTTGGCCAGGAAAAAAAAGTAAAAACTTTTTATGCAGAAACGACCCTTGCCCCAATAAGCAATACACGCTGTAGAACCCGTCACCAGCTTTTTTCCACCGGCCGTAGCACGATCCGTCGCCCGCAGCTGTCCTCGCCAGGTTTTCAAGGCTGCATTGATGCGCTTCTCTGCCAAAAAAATATGAAGCATTGACTGATGCACGAGGATGCACGAGGCTTTCTTTTCGCCCGCGTGTCACGATGCCGATGCCGCCGTTGCCCCCTCGAGTTTCCTTGGGCACGGCTTGAGATTGCAGAAACTAAAACTCTTCTCAACAGAAAGAAATGCTGCTATTGGCGATTATTTCAATCCAAGACGCCGCTTGCCAGTGAACAGTTTGATGCACTTCGGGACCTGGCGGGGCACTGCTTCGGTTATGTTGGTAGGGGTCATATTCAACTTCCAAGCCTCGCTGAGTGCACCTCTGCCACTGCAGAGTGCCTTGAGGTCGTCGCATGGCCCTGGGCGTCGTGCACAGCAGTCAAAAGAGAAGCTGCATGCAAGTACAAGTTGCAGCTGGAGCACAGTCGCCCCGCAGCATCAGTGGCAGCTTCTCATCCATCTTGCCGCCGTAGTGCCCAACCCAGAACCCGTACTGAAGAGCAGATGCTTTCGGCAGAGTCTCCGCACGACAGCTTTCCTTCAACTGAGTTGTCTCCGGGTCGATGAAACAGTGGCTCGTCCGCTTCTTCGACTGCAGCCAAGTTCGCCCGCCCTGGTTTTGGCGATCTGAGTCTGTGCTGTCCTTCAAGTTCTGCCCACGAGAATTTCCAGGCTGACCTGAAGTGAACACGTGCCATCGACAGTCTGATCGCGAGAGTGCCCATCAGTGAGTGAGTGAGTGTGCACATCTGAAGCTTCAGGCCCAAAAATGAATCGAGCCGGGATGTAGAGCTGGCACTTCGAAGGTGGCTTACGTCGGCTCGGTCTCTGGCAAGCAGGGCACACATACGGGCTACTCGGCATGCCGCCTGTTCTGTAAGCCCAGCTGCCGGTTCAGGAGCTTGGGTGCACAACGCAAAACTACACGAGATGCGACACCGACGCAAACATGAATCTGGGCCGTTTTCTCGCCCTTGCCTCCTTCCGGACTCGAGCTGCCAGGGGCATTTTACAGAGCCAGCCATTGCTTCAGGCAGGCTGCAGCTTGACATTCCTTTGATTGGTGTCTCGAATCCTGGTCATAGTTCCGATGAAAGAGCTGTTGCCAAAATTGCCTGAGTCTTCATCACACGCCTCATATGCGGTCTTCCAGATGTCCAGTGGCACAGTTTCCAGAAGGCCTGCCATCACGAGCAAGCGCGGAAGCAACCGCTCGAGGATATTGATGGAGATGCTGTTGCCGAGAGCATGTCCGAGCTTTCGTCTGGACAAGCCAGCACCCTGCATCACGTTCAACAAGGCTGGCTCGATGCCTTAGACACAGCAAGAACCATAGGGGGTGGCAATATACTTTACCAAACTCTCAAAACCCAGTCTGCCAATGTGTCGTCCAGATGCCCTGCTGCAGCGCCAGTTCCTGCATGGACGTCATCCTCCTCAAGCCGGGCAAGTAAAACCCACCGCTGGCACCGCGGCTGGCCGTGATGCAAGGCATGTACCCACGAACAGCTTTGGCATGCTGGCCGGCGAAAACATCAACCACGACATCCTTGTCCCGCAGGTTAATGCCCAAAGCAGCTTTCGCCTAGCAGATCCACAATCAGGCTAAACCCTAGGACAACCTCATTTCAAAGGGCTTGAAAAGGACAATCTCAGATCTCCCAAGGTTTCAGGACAACCTCATTTGGGACATGCCCGTCACCCCTCGCAGCTAAGCCCTAGGACAATCTCATTTCGGCAGTCAACCAGCATGTAGGACGACTTGGCAAATGAGTTTGTCTTTTTCAATGCGCGTCGCACGTTGGGCGAAACGCAAGCCCCAAACCTCCTCAAAATGATCGCCACATGTTGACATCATCGGTTCCAAGTCGTTTAGCAGTTCTAAATCAAAAAAAATTTGCAACGTGGCGCCCAAAAATGAAAAAGACAACCTCATTTCTGTCGAGATTTGTTTGGACAACCTGATTTCAATCTGAATCGTTCTATTGAAATCAGGTTGCCCGACGCTCTTTTCAGCCCATCCCCAGCCCACCCCAGAATCTTTTACTTAGAAGAAACAATCCTCCTGCCTTCTTCATGTTTGCCTTGAAAGTCTTGTTCTGCTTCTTTTCACCCAATGTCTCCCGATCATCCGAATCGTCATCCAAGAACATGGTCAATGGGAGGGGCGGAAACAGCTCTGCGGGCTGCAACTCATTCATCGAACTCGGAAGCCCTCGGAAGCAGTCGGCACGCACCCCGCACACGAAGATCCGCCGGCGATTCTGCCGCAAGCCATGCTGGCTTGTGATCATTTCCAAGATCTTGATCACCTTGTTTGAGTGATGAGAATCAAGGAATCAAAGCTTATGGCAAGTAGGCAAGCAAGCGAGCATGCCGTGCAGGCAGGGCGCATAGCCTCCCTGCTTGAGCACATCGGTCCAGTCATCAAGGATCGCACGGTGGCGTTTGTTGAGTTCAGACACATTCTCCGTGACAAAGGCTTTGGGAAGCTCCGTCAAGATTTTGTCGGCTCCATGAAGCAGCAGGAGGCCCCGCGGGTCCGAGCAGGCCTGCATGTCGATTGACTTGGGTTCATTTTGAAACAATGAAAATTAAACACGCCACATTCTTAACGCAACATGTCCAGCCGCCTCGCCCTTTCCTGCAGAACTAAATGTTGGGCAAGGTGTGGACAGGAAGTACAGGTCCAAAGGCTGTGCAAGGGGCCGTCGCGATACCATGTCGGTCTCCATGTAGTAGGCTGGGCAGCCCATTCTATCAAACAGAACCTGGCTGAGGTACCGCAAGTCCCTGTCCAGCTCGCAATGGAGCACGTGCTTAAAATCCGCCCCAATCTGGGCCATTGCGACCACCTTGGATTCTCCAAGTTTGCAAGCAGATGCTGTGGAATGGAGTGGCCCAGTTGATCCTAGTGACATGTGCACCATAACCAGCACAGTCTCCACCAATGCGGATGGGACCAGCCCGCTCAGGAGCAACAGAGGCATTGCCTTGCGCTGTCTGCAGCCTGCAAAAGCGACTAGTTGGATTTTTTTTTGCAGAGCTCCCTGACTGTGCCCGGTCCTTGTCCTCTCCTGGATGGCCTCGTTTGATTTCATCGCCTGGGTACAGGAGGACTCTCACTATACCCACTACACTCAATCAATCTATGACCCGGCCTTGCCACGCAAAGCCTTGAAGCTGATCTTGGGCTCCTTGGCCCTGCTTGCCGATGATTTAACCATCCCAGCGCTGGCAATGTGATTTTGAGCCCCGTGCAGCTACCGTTAATAAACCAGATCGCTCCAGTCATGTCCTGCCAGACCTTCCAGCTGTCTGCACGCATAAGTCAGATGACTGATTCACGGCACTTTTTCAGTGTCGTACGGCTCAAGGCTCTCAAAATTGCCATGCCTGCTATCCAACTTCGCGACTCTTCGTCGTGCAACTGCGGGTGCTTTGCACGCATCCCTTGGCATTTGTCACAGCTGCACTTCAAACAAAAGGTTGGCTTCGGAACCTCCAGGACACAGGGGCACTGTCTGTGGACATGGCAGTCTACATGTACTGTATAGGCCCGGGCCTTCTTCGGCATCGGGAACTCAAAGCGAAAACGCTTGGCTGCCAAACGTTTCAGAAGCTGCCCATCCGCCAGGGCCTCCGGTAGCTTCTCCAATGATTTGCCTTGCAGCCGGAAGCCTGCATCGAGGAGCTTTTGATCCAGGCTGGCGGACTTCTTTCCGGGGATGTACTCTGCCAGGATGTAGCACGAAGGCGCAACTCGGAACAGCCATGGAAAACGTCCATCAATGAGTCAGACGGCAACGCAAACAAATCAATAGCTCTGCTCATGACGCCGGCCTTCTCAGCCGTCTGGAATTGATTTTCCGTGCTGGTGTTCGTGCCGCCATTAACGTACGACCACATGTCTCCCGGAGACGCACCACCTCCTCGGCAAGCACAAAAAAGAGTTGCAGGGACAGCATCAACAAAACCCGAGTGAAGCCCAGCCTCCGCTGGGCGAGCTGCTCGAGGTGTTGGAAAAGATCAGCGAAGGTCGCTTGTAGCCAGAGTGGCCACCCACCATGCCCGCCACCCCGGACTTCGGCTCGAAGACCTATTTGAGGCGATTGAAACCATACTTGTCGCTGGTCGTCACTCGAAAGATGTGGCACATTGCACGGACCAGGTTGGGACACTTTTGGACTTCATCGTCAAGGGCCAACTCGGGACCAACATTGTCCGGTTCCACTGTCGTCTTGTCTTTCTTGTCCTTCTTCTTCTTCTTCTTGTCTTTCTTGTCCTCCTTCTTGGCAGAGCTTGCCTTGCCCTCGGCCCTCTCTGGCTTCAAGGGCCGGGCACCGAAGAACCTCAGGCAGACTGCAGGATATCAAAATTTACCAAACTGAAAGACTTCCAATGTGTCATGTCTCAGGCAAGGACATGACACGCTCCTTGCCCTTCTTCTTGGGGCCAAGGGATCTTGTCGCGACGGGAGCAGCAAATTCAGTTTTCCGGGCAGACCTCAACGAATCTGAGCTTGGGGTCGCACGGCTCCACTTGCTCGATCAAGCTCTTCAGTGTGCTGAAGCATGTGTCCTTCCATTCCAAGTGTGTGCTCGCAGCAAAAACGTAAAGAAGCTGCACAACCGTCCTCCTGCCCCTTCAGCTGCAACACTTCCTGGATTCGCCCGGCACTGATGTCCACGACGGCACGCCTGCCTTCCGGGCTGGTGTGCTCTGGCGACACTTAACAAGACCTGTCCCGATGATGCTCGGACTCGGACGCCGCGCTGCCGGGCCGGCCCCGAGCTCTAGAGCAGCCAGCGCTTTAGCTGCTCCAGCCATGCTCTGTGACACCTATATACCGGCACCTGCACCTACCCGCAAAAAGCCGACCTTCACAGAGAACAGGTAGCGGCGATGAAGTCTTGAGAGCAATCTTGCTGACGCAATCACAGGATAATAAATGCAAATGCAAGCCCTTTGGCTCTCATGGCCAAAGTCATCGCCCGCACTAGTGAGCTGCTTCTTGCGAAAGACTTTTGCGAAGGACTTAGTCATTCACCCTTTTTCAGGACGTTAAAAACCATGACACCAAAGGCCCAGTACCGAGACTCGAAAAGCAGCCCAAAGACCTCTCTGACTACATACCTGCATTTTGGGCAAGAATATGGACTGTTTCATCAAGATACCCGGTAACCGGAGCCACAAAATTCGTCATGGCAGCTTCTGGAAAACTCTGCCTCAGATCAGGCCGCCTCCTTGTCCGACTCGTCACCGTCCGAGGACCCAGGATAGGATGCACCGTTGGAGGACTCGGAGCCGTTGCCCTCCTCGCCCTCGCCCTCGGCGCCCTCGGCGACGCTGGATGCAGCATACGGCGCCTTCTTCTTCTTCTCAGCCTCAGGATTCGGAGCTGACCACGTCCGACCGGATGGCAACGGTGTGGGGATTGCCGGGCCCGCCGATGTGTTGCCAGTGGCACGGGCACCTACGCGAACAAACAGGCAGCCGTAGCAGGAGCCGCCCCAGTGCCGCCAGGAGCCGTAGCAGGAGCCGCCGCAGTGCTTGCCTTAGCCGGAGCAGGATCCCTGCGAGCATCCCAGCGCTGCAAGCCGCCGTACACATCCTCCCACGGATGCGCAGCCGGCTGGGACTTGGGCCTGGTGGCACCCCCGGCACTCCCTGCGCCGGTACTTTGCCTGAGCTCCTCGTTCTCCTTTTCCAGCTGCGAAACGCGATCCCTCAGCTCATTGCGAGCCCTGCTGCCAGCGATGCACTCGGCCTTGAAGCGATCACCGCGGTCGGTTGCAACCTGTCGCAAGGGCTGGGGTTTAAGGTATTATTGAATCTGAATTACATTAAGCAATATGTAGGGATAGGGAGTTTAAGGTTGTGTAAACAACGGTCCTTGAGCGACTTCAAGGCAGCCCCCAGCGTCTTGACAGCAGTCTTCAGATCCTTGGCCAAGTCCTCAACTTCCTTGTCCTTCAGCTTCATCTGCTCCTCGTGCTCCTTCTTGAGCTCCCTGATGCTCTTGACGCTCTCCTGCTCCTGCCGTGCAAGCCGCCTGTTGGCACGCCGGAGTCCTGGAGGGATTGCTTGTTTTTTTTCCCTGAAGGGTTGTCTCTACCCGGATTAGATTAAAGGCTTTGGAACTTGAAAGATTTGTGATCTATAATTAACCCACCTGCGCCAGTCGCAAGGCCCGATCGTGCTCAGTCTGCTTCGCTGCCATCTCTGCTGCATGGGCTGCCATCTCTGCTGCATGGCTGTCACGGAGCTCTGCCATCTCTGCTGCATGGCTGTCACGGAGCTCCTGCTACCATTGCTGCGGGTGCCCCAATAAGTTAATGGCTATTCTCACTAACCAATCAAAAGAAACTCGTGCAACCATCCAATCCTGCATCCTCTGCTCATGGCGGCTCTCTGCGGCAGACATCTCCTCGGTGTGGCTGTCGACGAGTGCCTGCAAATGGCAGGTTGACCAAGCACAGATTTGAATTTCAGTATTCAATAAAAAAAACAACCGAATGACCACGTTCAATGAGCAAACTTCTCCCCCGTCCTGTCGCTCGTGGATGAGCGAAGTCGAAAACTCGGTGAGTCCAGACATGAGGCCAGAGCGATTCGCCAGACGCCTCTGTCGCGCCGGGCCCTGCTTGGAGCTCGGACCCCTGGCGGACAGAGCAAACCTACATATTATTGTTTGATGCACTAAAGCACAAAAAATATTATTTACTATTATTTGGCAGGCCCCGCACCTTGTGCCATACCATCGGCCGGTGCCAGGAGCAGGTTCCTCCTCGTCCTCGTCCTCGTCCTGCTCCTCCTTCGGCTCCTCGTCCTTCTTCAGGAAGAAGAAGCTGCGGCCACGGCCACCACCGCGGCGGCCGCCTCCGCCGCCGCCAAATCCACCGCCGCCAAAATGGAGTCCCCCGCCGAAGCCACGGCCACCGCCGAAGCCACGGCCACCGCCAGCACCGCCAGCAGCACCGCCAGCAGAAACAGTTGCCATGGAAGCACTCCGACTCCTAAACCCTGAAGCCCGGATTAATCAATGGCTCATGCCTCAATGCCTGAATGGCTGATCCCTCAATGCCTGAATGGCTGATGCCTCAATGCCTGACCCCTCGATGCCTGAATGGCTGATGCCTGCATGGCTGATGCCTGAATGGCTGATGCCTGAATGGCTGATGCCTCAATGCCTGAATGGCTGATGCCTCACCCCTCGATGCCTGAATGGCTGATGCCTCAATGCCTGAATGGCTGATGCCTCAATGCCTGAATGGCTGACCCCTCAATGCCTGGATGGCCTAAGTATAATGGACCCGTGGACCCTAAGCATGGACCCTCATGGACCCTAAGCATGGACCCCAAGCATGGACCCCAACATGAGTCTTGAGCCCGGCGAAACAGTCGCAACATCCTCGCGGAAGCTCCCGAAGCAATGCTCCGAAGTGGTTATCCAAGCCAAGCCAGTCAAGCCTTCCAAGACCGAACTTTAGTATTGGTCAATTGAATATTCCAATTCCACATCCGGCACCCACTTTAGATTTGACCGAGGTCTCTCTGAAGTGCCTCCAAGTTGCCCCAAACCCTAAACTCTAAACCCTTCCAACAACCATACCACACCAAAGCCGTGGGAATGGGTAAATAGTTGTGGGAGTCCGGGATGTTCCTGTTTTTTTAAACCAGGCTTTCGTACTGTAGTCACTGCGGTTTCCATGACACTTCTGATTCAAAGTTGGGGGCTTCCCAACTCACAGTTTGATAGTCTGATTGCTGGAAGCTCGGGATTTCGGAAAGGTGTGGGTCGCCGGGTTAGTCCGGTGGAGAGGGTTCAGAGTATCGGGATTTGGGAACCCACCATATGCTGTCGAGGTACGCATTCTCCACCGGTAGCGCCGACTCCGACGAAGACCCAGACAGGCGGCCGCGGCTTCACCTGACCGTGGGAGATTTCGGAGCGCCAACTCCCCCCCCAAAAAAAAAAACTGAAGCCATGTCTGCAGTGCATCAACATCCGAATCCACATGTCCCTGTCACTGTCCCTTTGCATCCCACTCAGCCCGCCTCTGCCGCACTGTTGCATCATCCGGCAGTCTCCTCCAAAATAGATTTAGAATCTTGACCTACCAAAACCTCGCACTTTATCCAGTGCTGTAACCTCTCCCCGCCTCAGCACTTCATGCAGTGCTGTCAATCACCTTCTCCCATCACTCACCTCAGCATGTGCAATGCTATCCCCTCCCCGCTTCCCTTTTAGCACTTGTGCAGTGCTGTCACCACCCTCCCTCCCGTTCTCCTGCCTCCGTACTTATGCCCACTTCTCCCACCTCAGCACTTGTGCAATGCTTTCACCACCCTCCTTCCCGTTCTCCCACCTCATCATTGGTGCAGTGCTTTCACCACCCCCTCCCATTCTCCCACCTTTCACCACCCTCCCTCCCGTTCTCCCACGTCAGCACTTGTGCAGTGCTTTCACCACCCTCCCTCCCGTTCTCCCACCGCAGCACTTGTGCCCACCCTGCCCCGTTCTCCCACCTCAGCACTTGTGCAGTGCTTTCACCACCCTCCCTCCCGCTCTCCTACCTCTCACCACCCTCCCTCCCCCTCTCCTCTCAGCACTTGTGCAGTGCTGTCCCCTCCCCGCTTGCCCTTCCCGCCCCAGCACTTGTGCAATGCTGTCGCCACCCGCTTACCCCGCCCAACACTTTTGCAGTGCTGTCCATCCCTCACTAATCACCGAACCCCTATGCCCCCTAAACCCTCGTCCTGTGTCTGGCCTGGCTGCTGGCGCTGGAGCTCGACGATGGCACAGACGAGGCGGGCGGGTTTGGGGTTTTGGGAATTTTGGGGGTTTAGGGTTTAGAGCTTCGGGTTTAGGGCTTAGGGTTTAGGAGGTCAAGGAATTAGGGCATCAAGTGTTCTGGCGAGGACCTGGGTTTTGGGGTACAGATTAGGGCATCAAGTGTTCTGGCGAGGACCTGGGTTTTAGCCTCAAACCCAACCCCAAACCTAAGGGTATAACAGGCAAGGCTCCTCAGGGTTTATGGTTCAAGGTCCTGGGTGTGATCAATAGTGAAGAGTAGTGACTACTTAGAGCCAAGAATGAGCTACTCCAGAAAAAAAAGTTTCCAAGCGCCTAACACCAACTTAGAGGAAACATGTCCACATTGTAGGTTGGCACTTGGTCCACTTGTGAAACCACATCACACACATCACCACACATGCAGGCAACATGCCACATGCAACGTGCTGCGACGACTGACGCACCTGTTGCAAAGCAGCCGGCCTGAAGAACACAGGTTTCTCAAGCCAGGCAATGCTTCATGAACGTGACAGCGATACATCGTGGAAAAACCAAATCTGCCAAGCAGTCACTGAGCCAAGGCACATTGTCGGGACGGGTGGTAGAGTTTCCGGCTCTGCATCAGCCTTCCACATCATGCCAAGTTCCCTGGCCAGCGCAGGCTCTCAACGCGCCCTGGGCCACAACAGCTACACTGCAGCGAACACGACATGGTTCGACCTCTTTGCGCGGTGGGTCCAAAGAGTTCTTCATGTTGGTCTGACGGAATTGCGCACGCGCCAGAAGTGGTGCTTTTCAACACACTGGACATATGCAGCGTGAGAATCCGCTCGACCGTGTTGGTGTGTTGTCTGTGAGACGGACGCGGTCGATAGATCAGACACGAGATCATCGACTGGACCAACGCAAGCGAGATCACCTGAAGCATCGAGTATGCTTCCAAGGGAAACACTCCAAAGAAGTGTGTTTCAGCGCGCTGCCATGTCGCACCAATCCTTCTGCAGGTCCGAAAGCAGCTCCTCAACGCAGCACGCCTTGTTCCAGCCTGAGGCATCCCAACTTGTCATGCAGACAATGGCGAAGTGTCTGGGAGCTTGGTTAGGAACCAGCGAGGCTTCAGTGAAACAATCTCGAGTGTGGACCAAACCCCCCGGCGAGACCGTCAAGATAGAACGGATTAAGAACCCCGAGCCCATCAACAGTGCCAAGAAACGGGCCCTAAGCGAGACCCATGACGAGGTCACTTAGGAATGGGCTGTGCAGGACGCCATGAGGTAAAGCTGGATGACTCGATGCTGTGCGGAGATTAACGCCACTGCCACATGCTTAATCGAGCAGACACACGCCGGTGTTCTCCCAGCACGCATGTGTTCATCCCCAGCACACGTTCCCCTTGTACCCTTGTATCAGTGCATCCCCATTCAGCCACAACCAAATCCAACCCAAAACTAGGACGAAATCAAGCGACACTGAAACACAGACAAAGTCCGCGTGCTCGACATCCAAACCAACGAGCCAATAAGCTAATAGATCAACACCCCAGGCCCTGGAAACAGAACAAACAAACAAGCCTCTTCGGCGCCAGCGTTGGGCGCCAAAGGGATGGTGAGTACAAAGCACGAAACTATCATTCTAGGTTGTGTCAGAACAGACAAGACTGGCTGCCTTTGCATGGATTGACTGGATACATCACAACATCGCCGAGGCCAAGGCACTAGAATCTAAGCCGCAGCTTCCTGGCATCCAGCTCGGATAGGCAGTAGCGCACATCAGGGCTATCTGCGGAGCGCACCACGGGGCGCCCAGCTGGCAGAGCGGCTTCTTGACTGTTGCAACCTGCAAACTGAGAGGAGCCAGCCCAAACAGTTGATGCGCTGAGACGCGGGCCCATGCTCCGTTCTGCATGCGGGTGGAAGTCACCTGCGTGTCTGCAGCGTCTGCATTGAAGGGCTCTCGTCAATCGTCTCCGCCTGGAAAGTCTCCTTTCCCTCCATGTCTGCACTCACCGGGCTGGATGGGAGCCTATTCACGAGATCAAGTCCAGGTCCCTGTGCCACAGCACCAAGGCCCAAACCCCACGAAGACCAACCGCTCTACCGCGGTGCTCTGTTTGAAGCTGCCTCGCACACGCGAGACTCTTGGCCGGTGTGCCGAAGGCCTGCCGTGCCTGCACCTTTGGCAGCACCCGCCACGTGCAGTGTCTGGGCCGGCCTGTCAAATTTGTAGAACTACTGTAACTACGGCCAGGAGGCCAGGCATGACCAGGCAGCACTTCATGGCCACTTCATGGCCACGTCTGTCCCGGCGCAATTGTGCAATGGTACTGTCAGCTGAGCCAAGCACTCTGAGACCAGCTCTTGGCCGTCGAAGCTGAGCTTATCATAAACGAAGTGGCCCCGCCTGTCGATACAAAACACGGAAGACCCAGCTCCCTGCTGCAGTGCCTTGCATTGCTCTGAGCTTCCGGACATGAAGTCGTGGCTTTGGCCATCATCCATGTACACGTGGCCTGCTCATGACGCTCCGCACCAGGCCTCATGGTTGCAAAGTCTGCAAGGCGTGCACTCCTGCCTCCTGCCTTCTCCCCGTACACCACAATCGTGTACCTGCTGAAAAATCCAAACAAGTGGAGTCTGGCGGCAAGCTGGAACACATCTTGCAACAGCGAGGTTGCGGGTCGGAAGCCATCGCCAGGGAACTGCGACGGCGCCTCACGGCAAGAACCGGAAGCAATACTCGGTCACTGGGTCAACAACCACGGCGAAGCTGCAGCCTCATCTTCTTTGGGAGAATCGCACCAGCCCTTACGTACACAGGCACCTGGATTGCAGCCATTGGGCTTGGACACAAAGCCCTCGGAGTTCCGTCACAGCTGTTTCAGTCTCCCACGTGCGAGGGGTCAGCCTGCAGGGAGCCATCAGAACCGACAAACGTGTCAGATCGACCCTCGGCCCCAAAAGCGGCAAAGCGGACGGTGCCTTGACCGAGTGCGACTTGCCTCCAACAAGGGGTCCGGCCTGGAGTCTTCTCAGCCACAGCTGTCACTGCCAAGTCTGCATGCTGCATGAATACGACGACCGCTTTTAAACTTACTCTCGTACTGCGGTAGCTCTTGGTGCATTACACGCCCGGCTCCGCCTCCATGCTCCAGAAATCAAACCAGCTTCCTGAAGGCCTTGACGTTTCCAAGGATGAGACGAAGGTCCGCGAGCCAGTCGCGAAATCATCAAGGCCGTGGCAAGTACACGTTGAGAATGTCCTCACCCCGCTTGGTAATTGCCCGCACGAGCACATCGCTCCCCAGCCTGTGGACAGCTTGCTGGGCAGCAAGGCGTCGGCTGGCTCACACCACGAGCTCCCGGCAAAAAGTGTGTGTTTTGGTGGCGGAAGGCCTCGATATGCGATGCTTTCGATTCTGCAATGCGCTTGGCATCCAGGCTTGGCCTCCGAATCTGCCGCATCCTCAAGAAACGTTCCCGGTGGGGGGGGGGGGGGGGGGGAACGGGAGGTACTGGAAAATGGAAGCTCCACACAAAAAGTCCTGAAACCAAAGCGGCCGAAGGATTGGCTGCCCCGCCAAGGCCCATTGAGCGAAGAGGGTGTACCTCAACGATCGAGTAGCTTCAGCGCTCTTGCTTCGTATATCGACCAGATTCACCATGTCGGCAGCATCTGATATCGCACAGTGACCTGTTCACAGAGCATGGCACGGTAATCTCGGCAGGCGCGAACCTGTCAGGCGGGCCTGCTCACGCACGTTTTCTGTAATCTCTTTGCCGAGCATCCACGGCTCGCGGCGCTTGGTCCTTGCTCTCACTCCGTGGGGGGGAGGTTCGGGTATTTCGAAGTTGCAACTCAGCGGCTCGAGGTGGGCATGCCCTCGATAGAAGGGGTACCAGATCCCCAGCTGGTGCCACCTGAACCCTAAACCCTAAACCCTAAACCCTAAACCCTAAACCCTAAACCCTAAACCCTAAACCGAACCGGTCGGCCCTTCGGCCCTTCGGTGCGCTCGTCCCTTTGCCGGCCTCCGGAAGAGCTCGGGCTCGGGATCCTCCGAAAGCACGGAGAGGGTTCCCGGTTCCCAGCATGGGGCCTCCTGGCTTGGGTTCCCGACGAAGAAGAAGCCGGGGACATCAGCTCCGACGAAAGAGGCCCCACAAAGGCAAAGAGACCTGTGGAATGTGTTGGGGTGCGACATGCTATGGGAAAGCGGACAGCAGACACCAACTTAGGTTCTCACACGAGCATCGGAACAGAGATAGCCAAGTGCTCCCACCTTGGCTAGCACGAACCGCCACGACCGCACCGTAATGTGCCTCTTACGGCTGCGGATACTGCACGGCTAAGATCGTCGCTTGGCCATGTTGTCGCCGGTCCATATGGCCCCGTGCTTGTGGGACCCCGCGAAAAACGACCGTGTCAGAACAAACGGCCGGACCTCGGGTCAACAATCCAGCAGACACCAGTCTAGGGAGACAGGACTCTTTGAGTGCTGTGGCTACGCCCGAGGTCCTCGCATTTGGTGCACGCACCAGCTGTCCCTCGACTGTTGCCTGCTCTCAAAAGCTGGTAGCGCAGCGAGTGCATCCAAGTTCCTTGACAGCCACGGGCCATGTGATGATAGAAGCCATAAACCTGGGCTGCAGGTCCACTGCTGACACTATGGAATGGGTGCCTGGGCCTCATGATGTCTCAGGTTCGCGCATTGTGAACATCGCGGTGTTCCACCTCATCTGCCGGAGGGGCATGCTTTTTGGATTCAGCCTCCAACCGCGTGGCAGCGTGCATCGGAATCAAGGCCTCATAATCCTTCTCGCTGCACTTGTGCAAGTTGTCGCGTGGCCTGAGGTGATGAGGTCAATCTACGTTGAGTTTAGTTTAGTGATGCAGACAGAGTTCCAGGTCCGTGGCATTGTAACCTCTGGGCCATTAAAGACGCTCGGCCTTAGGAGAACCAGCTGCGGCTTTGCATGGCCTCTCGCGCCCACTGCATCACGAGCCGTGGACTCATTCATATCGTTCCAGGTGTACAGGTCAGGCCTTTGGCTCGCGATGCTTGGGATAACTTTGGTACAAACTCGAACGGCACCTGTTGTGCGGGTAGTAGTCCATCTTGAAGAACGTCGTCCAGAGTCTGCGCGCCTAAGGCAGAAGACACGGGGTTAAGTTGCGAAGCAAAGCATCTCACTTTACAGCCTCCGGATTGCAGAAGTCTGGATAGGAGGAAGTTCCTGGCCAACACCAGCCTGTGGCTCACAGCCGACATCACAAAAACATGTGCCTGGCGTGCACAGCAAGCATCCGCGCCGTCGTAAAGCTGTTTGTCTTTCGTCTTGGTGAAGAAATCGTGGTTCTCGCAGCAACCAGGTGGTGTGGCTAAAGACAGCGAGTGTGGTACAGACGCTTACATAGTTTACATACGTACATACATGCACAGGCGGTGAATTCGACTGCAGCCGTTGGTCGGGGCTGATCCGGTCGCTCTTACCCCTTACAAGGCGGGAGTCCTTCATCTTGTTGTAGACGTCGTACCTTTGAATGGAGATCGTCTGAAGCTCGCGAAACTGTGCAAGCAATATAACAGCATGAATCTACAGGAGCGGGTGTTTGGGCCTAGAGAAGCCACAGCATAACGTAAGCGATTCGCCCGCTGTCTTTTTTGATGTGAGGGTCGATGATCGTGACCAGCTTCCTCTTGGATGCCTGCCCACCGCATACAGTGAGGCATTTCTAGCACGTACTAACCGTATTCGCCCGATGGCTCCGAGACCTCAAGGGCTGCCAAGAGCTTGTCCGGCTGCGCAAAGTGCGAGGGGTGCCAGGTGAAGTACTTCTTGCCTTTGTGTTTCTGACAGCACCGAACACATGCTCTGTGAACAGCCGCCAGCAGCCCAGGTGCTGTCCGTATGCTCGATGTCCAACCAGAGAACATCGTACGGGATGTCGTGCTGGTCGAACTTCCTTCGTTCTGCACCCTCCCTCGGCAAGATCCCAAAAGCAACCACTCCACCATGGCTGGCCAACATCACTTGTTGCAACTCATTCCGGCCCATCAAAGCTTGCTTTATGCGGCCACTCCTATACTTACTAGCCGTTACGTACGAGCCTTTTCACGATCCAATAAGTTAGAACGCCCTCTAAGGTCAGTTCTAAGGTCTAGACTAAGCCAAATCAAAATCCTGAAGACGGAAAACATGTTCGACCAAACTTATCATAGCCCTCCATGCATCTCAATGCCATAGCTGTGCCTGGATACTACCGAGGAAGACCTTTTCGGAATCACCTCAGCACTTTGGTCGCTCCCTCTCCTGTTCACTCCGATGGAGTCTTCCACATCCACATAATTCCAGCGAGACCTCGAATAAAATCACAGAGCAATTTCAAGCTGGCCCGCCAACAGGAGAACACAAAACCTCCACAGCACTTGCATGAGCGGAGGCCACCACTGGTGCTTTCCGAGGGTTGAGATTGGAGGCATTCGGGGAAACCTTGCAAGCGCATTCTGTGCAATTTTCTTTCTGGCATTGGGTCTGATAAAGATTGAGGTGCCAGCCCTGTCACCGTGTGGTACCTCCAAAGGCCAAGACTCGATGCACCACGCACACACACACACACACACACTCGCGCGCGCGTGCGCGGAGTCCCCATGGCCTTTGCAGAACCTCCTGGGGCCCGGGGCCAGCAAAGAAGAACCTCAGTGCCCCGAAACCCCGGAGCTCCCACCTTGCGGGCGAGGACTATATGGGCGATCTGGCACTGGGCGAAGGGCATGTCCATCACGCCAGACTCAAACAGCCACCACGTCTCTGTTTGGGGAGATCCTTCGATGAAACGTACATGAGCCAACTCTGTACTGTATTGCATCTCATGCATGCAATGCATCATTGCGCTGCTTTTCTACAGGATCCACTCCTTTCGATGCATCCACATGCACGAAGCCTTCCGACCTGAACGCCCAGACTTGGTGCTGGCATCACAAAGCCAGAATATTTTGCACCCCGCTGAGCTGACCAGGTGGCACTGCAGGAAGCAAGTCCTAGACATTGTGCACTGTGATGCTGAGCTGCGCACGGATTGGGGAAAAAGAAGCCGGATGCAACGGTTTCACCCGACCTCTGTTTGCCGCTCGCTTTCTTTAACTGCAAAAGCCTCCGAGGTGCGCCCACCTGACGTGAGAGAAAGGACGCGTGCGCAACACAAGTCCTGAACACCTCCTTGCCATTGGCCATCTTGGGTCACTTGGACGACTTTACCAAAGGCATTCAAAGGCACGTGGATGACGACAAACCTTCCCCATGTTAAGTTATATCCGCCGACCCCGGGGCGGCGCCAGTGATATCCCGAGAGGTTGCTGCTTGTCGCGGGAGCCCCAGCACTCCCACCACCTCACTAGCCTCCCGCATCTCACCGTCACCTCAGTAGCTACACTCTTTTCTAGGGCCTTTTAGAAAGTATTTAAAGGCTGCTAATGCGTGCCCGGACCCTACCGCGCCCTCACCGCGCCCACCACCCATACCGCCCACAGCACCCTTCCTGCTCAGTAGCGACACCCTTTTCTAGGCCCTTTTGTAAGTGTTTAGAGAGTATTTGAAGGCTGCCAATGCGTGCCCCGGACCCCCCCGTGCCCTCACCGCCCCCACCACCCACACCACCCACAGCGCTTTTCTAGGCCCTCTTGTAGGTGTTTAGAGAGCACCCTTCCCGCTCAGTGGCTACACTCTTTTCTAAGGCCTTTTGTAAGTGTTTAGAGAGTACTCAAAGGCTGCCAACGCGTGCCCCGACCCCCCCCCCGCGCCCTCACCACCCCCATCACCCGCACCGCCCCCAGCATTCGGCTCTTGAAACCGCCCCCACCCGTCCTCGTGCCCCCAGCACCCTTCCCGCTCAGTAGCTATACACCCTTTTCTGCCCCCTTTTGTAGGTGTTTAGAAAGTATTTAAAGGCTGCCAATGCGTGCCCTCACCGCCCCAACTCCCAACCACACCACCCATACCGTCCCGAGCATTCGGCTCTTCCCGCGCCTCCACCCGTCCTCGTGCCCCCAGCACCCTTCCCGCGCAGTAGCTATACACCCTTTTCTGCCCCCTTTTGTAGGTGCTTAGAAAGTATTTAAAGGCTGCCAATGCGTGCCCGGACAGCCCCGCGCCCTCATTGCCCCCACCACCCACGCCACCCACACCGCCCCCAGCATTCGGCTCTTACCACCGCTCCACCCGTCCTTGGCCCCCACCAGCTTTCCTGCTGAGTTGCTACACCCTTGTCTAAGCCTTTTGTATTGCCAATGCGTGCCCGGACCCCCTCGCGCCCTCACCGCCCCCACCACCCACACCGTCCCCAGCATTCAGCTCTTCCAACCGCCCCCACCCGTCCTCGTGCCCTCAGTAGCTACACGCTTTTTTAGGCCCTTTTGTAGGTGTTTAGAGCGCATTTAAAGGCTGCCCACCACCCACACCGCCCCCAGCATTCGGCTCTTCCCACCGCCCCCACCCTAAGCCCTTTTGTACGTGCCCCCAGCACCCTTCCCGCTCAGTAGCTACGCGCTTTTCTAGGCCCATTTGTAGGCGTTTAGAGAGTATGTAAAGGCTGCCAATGCGTGCCCGGACCCCCTCGCGCCCTCACGACCCCCACAACTCACACCATCCACACCGCCCCCAGCATTTCTAGGCGGCCCTTTTGTAGGTGTTAAGAGAGTATTTAGAGGCTGCCAATGCGTGCCCGGACCCACTACACACACCACTCACACCGCCCCCAGCATGCGGCTCTTGCCACCGCCCTCACCCGTCCTCGTACCCCCAGCACCCTTCCTGCTCAGTAGCTACACCCTTTTCTAGGCCCTTTGTTTAGAGAGATTTTTTAAAGGCTGCCAATGCGTGCCCGGACCACCCCGCGCCCTCACCGCCCCCACCATCCACACCACCCACACCGCCCCCAGCATTCGGCTCTTCCCACCGCGTCTTCAACTACGACGGCACCAACGGAAGCAGGAGGTCAGGTGAGAGATGTTGATGATTTCCTTAAGAATGCGACGCAGGTGTTAAAGATGATGGCCGAGCAACAAGAACCATCCCGACCAGGCCCTTCAATGAAGATGTTGAAGAAGGCGATCAAGGACTACGAGGGGAAGATGGCCCTGGTGGATTCCGGTGCTACACACCCTTTGCGGAATCAACGGCCGATGAGGTGGATGTTGTGGTGGCGGGCGACGGCGTCAAGCGGATGCGACAGAACGGTACAGGAACCTTGTTGATGGAGCCATCAACGGCTAGGGCCCAGACAATTCTTCCAGTGGGTAGCTTGGTGAGCGTGCTTGGCTATGAGTTGGTCTGGACAAAGAAGAGATGTGTGTTAAAGGGCCCAGAAAGCCAAGAACTGGCGCTGAAGGTGACTTCGGGATGTCCGGAGCTAAGCGAAACCACCGCCCTGGAGTTGATCGCAAAGATTGAGCAGGAGAAGGTCATTGCACTTCAGCGCAGTATGGAGGCCACCAAGCAAGCAATGGTCCGTGCGCGAGAAGTTGAACTGGATCCATGCTGGGAAAGGAGTATGCGGGAGTATGTATCTGGGGGGAAGGTTCGAGGATGGTTTCAATGCTATGGCTTCGGCGCCCTGGGTGACGGATGAACTACGTGAAGATCTGGCTCGAGTGGTGGTGGACTTACCAAAGTCTGAGCCTGAAGCCTGGAACCTCATGCAGCAGCTGGGCTTCAACCGGAGAATGCGGAAGCGTTTGATGAGCAAGGACTGGGTTGTCAAGTTGTGCAGCGGGAGAAGGTCACCGACAGATAAGTTGTTCAAGATGGTGGAAAACAATGGGACAGTGGTGTTGGACATTGATGTGCAACGGCTTCCCCAACTGGACTTGCTCAAGAAGGCCCAGGAGTGATGATGATGTTGTTATGGGGTGCAGCTACGGGCCGCGTGGCTGGCATTATCCATGGACTCCCAACTACGTGCAGTGGTGTTACGTGAGGTGGCTAAAGCTGGGCGAACGGCGGTGTGCAACGAGGCGGACATTCCAGTGGATGGTGTAGCTTTCTCTTTGTGGGCATCCTTCGAGGCAGAGGAAAATGAGTCGTCGTTGGCCTGGGTGTTCAAGTGGTTCAGGAGGTGGATTGCCACAAATCATATGGAGCTTTGTCACTTCGAGCAAGGTGGGTTTGGTCAGCCAAGACGAAGGCCCACGACTATGATTACCAACTTAGATGTGGCTGAGCTCAAGGGTGTGAAGGACGGCAGGACCGCCGATGAGGAGGTTCACGGAACTTGGTCTTCCTGGGCACCGATGATGGTTCGTGTACTTGCCCGGGGACTAAAGAGATGGAAGTTGAGGCCGGGATGGTATCCAAGGCTGGTCAAGGCTTTGAAGGCTGTGGATCGCCGTGCATGGGAAAAGCATCTGGCCAATGACCATGTTCCTCACCGCCCAGATTGTTTACAGTGTATCCACAATGCTACCGGTCGTCCTCATCGGAAGTGCTTGCACAGAGATTGCTACGTGCTCAGCGCGGACACCTTAGGACCTGTGCGAGTGGCTGGGGTGAAGGGTGAGCACTATGCGGTGGTGGTTCCCCAAGCAGAAGATGATAGCGGAGGACCAGCCCATTCCCGATGAAGAGCTTGATGGCTGGACCTTGGACGCTAAGGTGGGCGAGGAGGTGAACATTGTTGAGGAGCCGAATGACGTGGAAGAATATTCACCCGACCTGGGGCCTGATGTGGAGCATTCAGCCGAGCCGAATCACGACATTAACCACGATCAACCAGCAGCCAAGGCTGCTAAGAAGAAGGAGGTGTCAGATGATTGGTGGGAGTTTCGGGAGACGTCGGGGGCGTTGATACGACACCACGTGACTCCGAGGACGGCTCTGTTCAGACCTACGTCATGGAATGGATGCCCGGTGCCGCCAGCTATGTTGGATTACACCAGGGTCACTGAGGTGAAGTTCGTTAGCGGCGGTGTGGATACAGAGACTTCAGATTGGCATGGGCCTCAATCAGGGGCGCGAGTGCTGGAGCGACCATGGAGGGGGCGAACTACGTTTACAGTGTCCACAGCTGAAGTCTTGGAGGATGAGGAGGAGCTCAAGAAGGACGAGGAGGCCATTGGCGACCTCACAAAGCCCGTGGAAATGGACACGATCTACGGATCTGCATGGTGTACCCGGTCCGGGCTCGACGTGGCGGTGATGTGATGTTGGCGGTGCAAGAAGCGGTGCTCAGACTGAAGCTTTTGGGCTTTCCTGTGGCTCGGCTACACTCTGACCGAGGTTCTGAGTTTGCTTCGAAGGGGTTGCGGAAATGGCTATTGGATCACGACATCTACCACACCCGATCAGAGGCTGTGGTTCCACAAACTAATGGTGCAGCTGGACGCGGAGTGAGATGGTTTAAGACGATGGCGAAGGTGCTCATGGCTGAGGCGAAGGTGGGATGGATTGAAGTACTGGACGCTGGCAATGCAGCACGCAGCAAACCGAAGGATCCATGACCGCCTGGGCTTGACCAACCCACTACTACCTTTCGGCTCCAAGGTGATGATTCGGCGCAATGTCTTTGGGAACAACAAGAAGTGCGACTTGACGGACCGCTGGGAGGAGGCCATCTACTTGGGTTTGTCGCACACGATCAAGGGTGGTGCAATGGTTCTGCGGTCGACGGGGGTGTTGACGGAGACCCTTAACATTAAAACCAACGTGGTGGACCCGCACAAGTTGTTGGCAGCTGAGGACGTCGATGATGGGGGTGGTGTTGGACCCATAGCGTTGGATGAAGTACCAGTGGTAGAGTTACCCGAACCAGACTACCGAATGACGGGGAAACAATCTCCTCCGCAGCTTCGAAAGATGGGTGTCCTTCAGGATGGACTACGAGGTACCTGGTACAACATCAAGAAGAACGTGCCCGCTACTTCTACAACATGGGCAGGTTTGATGTGGAATCGTGCGCCCGGGTGCTTCGTGATGTTCATTTGGGCAACAAGGCGCACTGGAAGACCCGGGGCGAAAAGACGTCAGCGTTGATCCTTGTATGTGCACGGTGGAATGCGAGGAGCAACGGCGGCCACATCGAGAAGACCGTGGCTTACCAAGTACTTGAACATGATGCTAAGGCTACAGACGCTGAACACCACGAAGTGGGATCCTAGGTGGACTACTTTGGGTGTGTTCAGAGCAGCAGAAATTCCTCCTCACCGGGATCTTCGTAACAAGGCAGGTCTGCCGAACTTTGTTATGGAAGTGGGTAGCAGAAACACTGGTGGGCTGTGGTTGTCAGACGCCCGTGAAGGTGTGGAAGGAGATGGAACTCAAGGCGATGATCTTCGACGAGAACTTCCTGATGGATCCGTAGCAGAAGGGCGGGTTGTTGACATCAGGGGGAAGGTCGCTGTGTTCGATCCGAAGAAGTTTCATTCTTATGTTGAATGTGAAGAAGAAGATCGCTGGATTATAGCGGGTTTACGGAGTGGACTCCATTCCTGCCAACCCTGCTGCCTTCCTCAAGAGATGTGGGTTTCCGCTGGATGGAACAGGAGTTGGTGTATATGATGTCGAAGATGAACCTCTGGAAGGCTACAGTGATGATGATGATGATGATGAGTATTCCTCCAGCTCGGAGTGTTCGGACGAGGAGAACCTGGAGCAGCGAGCTCGAGTTCTTCGGTGCGAGCTAGAGGAGGAGGCCAAGGAGGGATCTGAGGAGAAGTCGGCCACCACGTACCTAGAGGTTCCCCAGGAGGCCTTTGAGGAGTGCGCAAGGAAGCTGGCGGAGCTGCATGAGCGGACGATGAAGCGTCTTATGAAGGTGTCCCCCGCAGATGCTAAGGATGTGGAGGTGGAGGAGCTTCTACGGTGTTTAGGCCGGGCCGTTGGAGGTAGTGCACCATGTGAGTTTGCCGGAAGTGAGGAAATACATTGAGTCCTGGAAGGCGGCCATCGTCAAGGAAGTGAACGCCCTTATGGACTCTTGTGCAGTTACGCGTTTGAGCCCGGAGCAGGCTCGAGAACTCAAGAAGGACGGCTTGATCGTGCTCCCGGGCAAAGTGGTATTCACCGCCAAACCACCCACGGATCCGGAAGGGCCCGAGAAGTACCGCCGCAAATGCCGCGTGGTGGTATGTGGCAATTTCCTACCACCTCAAGGTCAGAATGTGCATTCTTCAGGGACATCGGCAGATACTCTACGGATAGCTGTGGCACTGGCGGTGAAGATGGGTTGGCGCATGGCCAGCACGGACGCGGCGAACGCCTTTACATTAGCACCTATGCCGACAGAGCTTATGTACGCCCTGACTCCACCTACCATTGTGACGCTGGCCGGGGCAGCACGTCCAGGGGAAACCTGGAAGATCACAAGGGCCTACGAGAAGCTCCCCGACTTTGGAGTGATTTCAGGAATTGTCGACTTGCAGGTGCCCGGATTCAGTTTGGTGAGTTTACTTTGGAGATGGAGGCGACGACCACCGACGAGAACTTCTGGGAGGTGACGTTCAGTGGCGATGGCACCATTAGAGGCTTGATCCTGGCGTATGTCCACGATTTCCTTCTGTGATCGAGTCGGGAGATTATCAAGGCTATCTACCAATGGCTGGTGTCTGGTTGGAAGTGCACCGACTTAAATTGGTTTAAAAGAAACGTGTGTATTTGGAGAAGGAGTTCACCTATCTCAGGCTGGCTATGTTCGAGATCTTCTACGACAACACGGTTTGGAGGAAGAACCCGGAGGACTTACAGTTCCATGCAGCCGAGAGTGGCCCCAAGACATCGACTCGGAGGACGAAAACCCAGAGCCAGAGGAGGCTACTGTCAGGTTGGCCCAGAAGGCGACAGGCGAGACGTTGTGGCTGTCTAGGAGAAGCCGGCCAGAGTTGGCGCATGCGGTGGGGTGTATGGCTTCCCATGCACTAAAGAAACCCTTGAGGACGCTGGAGATTGGAAAAGGGTGCTCAAGTACCTGGCGCGCACGGTGGAGTATGGTATCTGGTTTCAGGCGGTGGAGGATGATCCGCTGATGGTTGTTTACTCGGATGCCAGCTAGGCCCCAGGAGGAGGCCGTTCATTTGGAGCAACCATGGCACAGATCCATGGGATGCCGGCGTCATGGCGGGCTTCAAAGCAACCGGTCATTACTTTATCGGCGGCAGAAGCGGAACTCTACGAGGGTTGTTCGGCTGTGCAGCTGGGGCTGGGAGTTTGCGCGTTGTTGTCAGAGTTGAATCTTCATCCAGTTCTACATCTACGCATAGACAATGCGGCGGCTCAAGGACTGGCCAGTGAGGCTCCGGGTACGTGGAAGACACGGCATTTGAGGATCCGGGCTCGGTTCTTGAGGCAAGAGGTAGCTGCTCAACGTTTGGTTATTTCTCACGTGGCGGGGAGCTTGCAGAAGGTTGACCTTGGGGCAAAGGGCTTTGATCTTCCGGAAGTTTAAGGCCTTGATGGACCTGTGGCAAATCGTTCCTTGCATTCCTCGAGAAGCAGCTAACGCGGCGTTGAGGGCTTTGAGGGCGACAAACCAGCGAGGTATGTTGCTGTTCGTGGTGATGTGCTTGTGCCTGGTCAAGGGTGTGCAAGGTAAGGATGATTTACCTCTGGATGGGTCACTGGAGTTCTACCTGATTGTCGTTGTGTCTTTGGTTGCAGCGGTGGGCATTTGGGAGTTGCTGAAACGAGTGCTCGGCCGATTCAGCTCATGGTGGACTGCCCGTCAGAGAAGGCAGTTGAGGGCGGAACGCCTACGAGCACGCACCCGAGATGCTGTTCAGGAGGAGCTACGACGACGTGAGATCGAGCTTACATCAATGCCTACATCCTCTATGAGTATGCCCCCTCGTCCAGTGCAGGCATCTTCTATGAGTACACCTCCTCGGAGCTTGCGGAGGCGGTCTTCTACGGCGGCTACGGCGAGTGAGGGTTTGTGGACTACGAGTTACGAGGTCGGTGTTCAGACTGATCCTGGGACGCCTATGATTCCAGTGAACAGGCTCAGTGGGAACACCGGGCCTTTCTATGTCACAGCGCATGGAGATAAGGTTCACATGACTACGTACTGCCATGGTCAGCGGAATGCCACTCGACCCTCCAAGCGGTACGACTTGTGTGATTACTGTGATAGGGCAAGTGGCTTGTATGTGCTTGTCCCTCCTGTTGATGATTGATCGAGCGGCTGTCTGCGCAATCTCCGGTGTAAAGGGCTCCTCCAGGCTGTAGCCAAGAGGAGTGGAGGAGTGCAGATGCAGCGACGGCCACGATGTCAAGGCTTTCTCGTGACGTGTGTGCACAGATGTCATGTCACGACTGAACTCGATGGCTCAAGGAAAAAGACGTTGGTGCAGCAGAACTGCGTCTATCTAAACTCGCTACGCGGTAGTCATCATGGATGGCTCACCGCCCGAGGCTCCGGGACCTCCACATGTGGACCCCTTTTCCGACCTCCCTGCTTCCTGCTGGTTATCAGCAAAACCCCAAACTCAAAAGCTTGAGCTAAACCCCAAAGCCCCAAACCCCACAACCACACCACAGGGGGAAGAGGGACTCCACACCCCACCCACAAAAAGGGGGGGGATCCTGCACCATGGACCATGGGGGGGGAGGGGGGGGGAGCCGCGGAGCGCCTGACCATATATGAGCGTCGCGTTCCTTTCGCGGGACTTTCGCCCTCACTTTCGCGCGGCATGTTGGTGGCGGTAGCAGTAGCAGTAGCTATGTACATTTCAGGGCTTCTAAAGGTTTTCGGGTTTACAGGGTTCAAGGTGTGGGGCTTTCGGGCTTGAGACCCGCAGGCTGGCAACTTTAAGGTTCAGGCTTCGGGATTTACCAATGAAAACCGTCAAGCCCCATGCTACACGAAAACCCTGGGGGACCCTAAGGAAACCCGACAACCCTAATAGCCCCAAGCGCCGGAAATTAATCACCCCACACCAGCCCTCCCACCCCACCACAATCACCCACCCAAACCCACATCACCTCACCTGCCTAGCCTTCACCACTAGGGGCAGCGGTGTCAACACCACTACGCGGCCCAAGGCTGCGGTGTCTAACACCACAACCTCGAGCCTTAAATGAAGCCTCCTCTCACCCTAAAGCCCTGAACAAAGACAGACAGCCTAACCTAAGTCTAACACGGCTTCAAGGGCTGTCGGCGGTGGGGAGACAGGCTTCGGACGCGATGCGCCAGAACCCAACGCATGAAGGCATATGAGCCACTGCCACCTAGGCATTCTCTGCTTCCGCTGAGCCTGACTCTTGTGCATCCATCCACACGCACCAGCAGGTGTGGCTATTTTGCTGAAGCTGTACCAGCATTACCCATCGTGACATTCTTGCATGAAGACCTCCGATGCTCCTCTGTCTGGACTCATCACATGTTAACACAATTCATAGCTCCTCTTGGTATGTCTTCGACGACAAACCAGAGGCCCAGGCTTCTCGCGATGAATTGCCGTCACCAGGGGAATCTAGGCAGCAAAAATGCGGGCAGACAGCAGCTATCAGCAGCTGCAATTGCTGCTGTCAGATGCCGAAGATTGACTGAATCTAGAGGGCTTCGAGAGTTTGCCGTGGCAGACAGCAGTGCGCAAACACTCACAGAACTGTAACCAGAAGACGGATACCGAAGACCGGCGACATGGCCACGAGAACAGGGCAACAGGGAATTGTGCCAGACAGCTGATTGATTAATTACATTCCATGCGCACTTGCTGCGACTCTCCGGAGACGTCACAAGCACGATATCCACTTCTGCGACTTTCGCACATGATTCTCCCGAAACGTCGCAGGTGGTTTCGCAGGATTCGTATATGAGGCTGAATGTAGCGTCCTGAATCGAAATAGAAGAGTCTGAAGGCCGCTTCTTTAACTTCCCGACCAGTAGCTAAGGAGGTAGGCAGATAGGTATGTAAGCAAGCAAGTGGCCAAGAGAGCGATAGATAGTGGCTAGTTAGGTAATCGGACAAATAGGCAGGCAGGGAGACAAGTTGCCTCGTAGTCAAGGAAGCAAATGAAGATACGTAGCCAGGTAGCAGAGCTAGAGAAGCAAAACAAGCAAAAAAATAGACCAAGGACCAGCAAGTAAGCAAGTAAAGAAAATAATACCCTACATCAGTTCTAAGTGCTTTCCGTCAAAGAGCTCCGGGGTGCTGTCCTGCGCAGCTCTCCAAAGAGGTCAGCGCAAAGTCAGCACTCGCCAACACTTGACAGAGCTGCAGTCAAAACAGTAAAAGCTAAGTCATAAATGGAAAAGTGAGTAGGCAGGTGAGAGGTAGGCAGGCAGGCAGGCAGGCAGGCAGGCAGGCAGGCAGGCCGGTCGGTCGGTCGGTCGGTCGGTCGGTCGGTAGGTAGGTAGGTAGGTAGGTAGGTAGGAGAAATAGGAAAATAGGTCAGTGCACATGTAGGCAGACAAGTACTACGCAACGGCAGTAAACCCAGCAGCAACAGAGCAGCACCACCCAACAGAAGCAACAATAACAGTGACAGCAGACCCCCAGCAGCAGCAACACCATCTCGGGTCGCCGCAGCACCATACAAGGCCATGGGTACGTCCAGCGCCTTTGCCACACTACGCATATCTGCATGACAGCCCTCGTTGAGCAACTCAGTGGAACTCAGTGTCGGGCGTACTCGAAGACATCCAGGTTGAAGAATCGATACGGCCTGAGTTAACCCCCTAATGTCTTAAAGAACACAAGATCCGGACCACAGCTGCCCGACAACCTGGTTTCGGGAGCGAGGCTCTGGTAAGCGGTTCTCACCCAGGCCCAGGCCTGTCGCAGCAGAAAGCACAAATGGTTGGGTTGTTGTGCAGCGCCGGAGCGTACCAACTGCATGCTCTGCAAGCCCGAAGACATCGACGGCGTCCTCAGATCTTGAGACGGGGGCTGCGAGGACAAGAAAATGCGAGCAGGTGTCGTGGTGCCGTCTCTTTGGGCTCCAGGAAACTATATCAACTCTCATACTATATCTTGGCACATGGCCTCGAAGGCCACATCCACACCCACTGCAGCTGGTCCCCGGGGTTTGCTGTCTGTGTGGCCACCAAAGCTTTCCTGAAAGCTTCGGCGCGCCAGTAGCCACGGAAGAGAGCAGAAGCAGAAGTCGCTCCGAGGGCCTCGAACAAGTTGTTCGGATCAAGGTCCGTCGCATCCACGAGTCCGGCATGCGCCTGCCTTGCATCCGCTTTGGTCCGTGGAATTCCATGAATAGGAGTGAATTCATGCCAGCAGTTCGCGCCCTTGGCTCTGTATCTTTCGAAGTTTAGGAACCGCCGAGAATTGAGCTTCTGGAGCACCTCGGTGGGGAAGGGCCAGCATCGTGGTGTCGACTCGTTGTGCCGACATGGTCTTCGAGACGCCGCATCCGAGAGCAGCGCCCGACCATGTGCGACATACTCAAGCTGAAAGGGGGAGTGCTGCAACTTCACCTGCAAAGCATGAGAAAGGATCACGAAGCCGATCCACCATCTACCGTCGAGGCCTTGCACGCACCACTGGTGCTAGCAATCTCTGTGAACCCGGCACCTTCGGTCACAGCGACCTGGTTGGGCAGACACCGAACATTCAATGCACATCGGCCTGTTGGGAAGCCGCCTTATCGGGCTGCAAGTCCTCGTCTTTTCGAACCACGTCCTCAGTGACTTGTGGTCTGAGTTCTCATCACTGCAACGGGCCGTAGGCCATAGGCGCTCTCTCTGTGGGGTATGAGCCAAGCTGCCCCGGGTGTGAGCCGAAAGCGCGGGTGGAGAGGATCCTGTACGTCGAGCGCGCACTTCCCTTCGGCCCTTTAGCTGCTCATTGACGCTCCGCGCCTTCTCCGTGACGAATGTTCGGACGATTCCGCCGCTGCCGTCCACGTCATTCAGGAAGAAGCTCAGCTCTAACAGAAGGGGCTTCACCTTCCAGGGAATCTCAGAGCTGTGAGCAAGAGCCTAAACTCAGCTGCCCAATGTCAACTTCCGAGAAATCTGCACTGGCGTCGTTGGCGAAGAGTAGGCTGGCCTGTGGCATGTTGTGCTTGCAAAGCTATGTCGTGAAGCCAGTAGCAACACAAAACAGGCATGTGTATACTCTCAGGTTGCAAAGCTGAGCCCAACCAGGAACCTGCACTTTGTTGCCGCTGGACTTGATGGTAGACGGGTCCAGCTTGTGAACCACAAGGCCTGGCTGCGCTCTCCTCCCTGACGTTCTCTCCTACTGGCGACCCACAGCCTGCATCGCCCTCCACCTGCAACAGAAACTCCAGGGTGCCCAGCGATCTGGAGTGCAGCGATGTCTTTGCCAGGCCTTGCTGATGTACTTTCGATAGCGCCGTCCGAAGGATCCTTGCCTTTGTGCTGCCAAGATCTGCCGAACCATCTCAAGCAGTCGAAGACTAATGGGGGTCCAAGCTCGAAGGTCCGGAACTTGGACTTGTCGACACACTCCACAGAGCCTGGTCGCGCATGCGCGTTGCAAGCTGGAGCAAGCACAGATACCGGGAGAACCAAGCCCTGCCAGGCCTAAGCTAAGGTAGATGGCTATAAAGGTCCGCCACATGCACGCCATCAGAGCTAAGCATCAATGGAGGGTCTGCAACACTTCTGAGACACACGTTGTGCTGACTTCTGAATTTGGGAAAGTTCCATACCAGAGCTTCAAAAAGCTTCAATGCCTGAAATGGCGAATTTCAAGAGGTGTGCCCCGTCTAAGGACACATTTGTCATCGGCCGACACTCATGTCCCCATACGGACAGACTGACCGTCTACAATACTCAGACAACATGGCAGCATGACTACGCGGTCGGCACGGCTATGATACAATGTGATGTACCAACTTCTGGAACCAGAGCCTAGCGGCCTAGCGGCAGCTGCAGAAACGGCTTGCCCGGCGCTTTCGTTTTCGCTGCTGCACAGAAAGCACTTGCACATCCGCTTTGATGTCCTTTTCCGTGTTCCGCATTGAAGCAGATCTGCAAGGTCGCAGGCTTCGCAAACCAAAGCCACGACCTGTGGATTTAAAGAGTTCCCCAAGAGTCCCCAAAGTTCGCGCGGCTTTGCGAGGGGAAGCTGGTAGCGGGAGCACTGGCATGCCTTGGCAGCTTCAACGCTGCACCGGTGCGATAGGCATTGCGGCAAACAGCGTGGGCTGCATGACGCATCACCAACTTCAAGCTTGAAGCCCAACAGTCGTGCGACTTCTGATGGCGCAAAATAGCGCAGCAGGCCGTAGAATTGCTGCATGGTGTAGGAGCCAGGTTCCGCCTGGGATTCTGCCAATCTGCTGGCAGCAGACAAGACACTCCCTGTGCCGTCCACGTATCTTCCATAGGCTTTCGTAAAGCACAACGAATGACGACAGCCAGGGTGGACCACATCAAAGCAGCGGGCAGACTCCTTCTGCATTGTTCCCTCCGGCACTAGCCATCTGGCATCGTCTGCATCGAGGAAAGCAGACACCGGCTGCAATTCATAGCAGCACTGAGCAGTTGGCGCAGCAGGTGCAGGCTGTCCACAAGCAGAGCAAGTGTTTCGAAGGGTCTCCGAGGATGGATGGCCCTCGTCCTCGTGACCGGTTCCCGCGGCTGCACAGCACGGTAGGTGCCTCCACGGCCTCAGAGCTGCCGTGCAGCGCGGTTTCTCAGAAACTTCGCTCCTGGGTTCTGGACTCTTCGAGTGCTGATCCCTCGCCCGAGTCTGGCAGGCAAGCTGCATGCGAGAGTTTGGAGATGAGTAAATCAGCATGCGACTGCGCCACGTGCCTGACGCAGTCGCCATGTCTGGAACACGTCTGAAGAGAAGGGGCCTTACGCAAAGAGAAACAGTATCGGACGAAGAGGAACGCAATGGTACCTCCACTGCTCGCGTCACAAGCGATTCAACTTGACCCGCCTGCGTTTGGCAACCTCAGCTGGATCGTGACGGACATGGTGATGTGAGCAACACGTAGAGCACTGCTTCGTATGGCATGTGGCTTACCGCAAGTGGTTGTTTAGGTTTTGAAGAGCGATGCCTGCGGGCCTGGGCCGGTAACCTTCCCATCAAGTTGAGGCGGGGTAGCTCCCATGCAACAGCCCGAAAACCCTGACATCGCAACCTTTATACATCTGTGTCAGCATGGCTAGCTTTGCTGCGGTATGCTTGGCATGGTTGCTGAAGCAATACTGTGCACTGCCGACTGCAGAAACTGTGTCCCGGACCATGTAGAATCGCAGCCGTGCATTGGGAAACCCGAATTGCTGCGGACCTCAGAAAAACTTTGATGTACAGGTACGAACCACATTCACGCCTGACAAGGGTCCAATGGCCCCAGCTCTTCAGCAAAACTTTGCCGAGCCGTCTTGCCCGCAGCGCTCACACTCGCCGGGTCCGACCCGTCAGTGTGCGTTTACTACTGTATGGGCCCAACTCAACAGAAAGCTGCGCCACCCAAAGCCACGCGTCCGAAGAGCCTCCAGGAATGCCCAAGCAGTCCGACTCATTTGGGATCCATCTGGGCGCGCGGCATCACAGAGCTGCAAGTACGAGTCCGACTGCTCGAAGTTGCGCACATTCCTAGCTTGCATAGCTGGCCCATCCTTGCAACTGTTGCTCTGTGCAGGCGTGTGGCTCTAGAACAATGGCCTCAGGCGGAGTGGTCACCTGCTCTGGAACCGGGCGGGGTGAGCGCAACCCGTCTAGGAACAGGGGCGCCTCCCGCAACACGGAAATGATGTGCAACAGCGGTTTCGCTCGAGGGTCCTGGGACTTTCGTGTCGTAGCATTCTTGCTGCAGCTTGTTGAAAGCACTCGTCACTATCAAGTCCTCCGCATCTCGGATCTTGCCTTGCCTATCCAGTTAAACTGCGCTCCAAGCAAGGTCGTTGTGCATCACTGCCCGTGTGCAGGCTGGCCTGGTATAAGGCTGGCACGGCCTGAGATAAGACTATCCGAGTGCTTTCCGGTGGGTCCGGCACAGTGCACATGTCACATGTGTTATCTGGCCGACTCAGATCCCAGCGGAGACATTGTCCAAATCCGACACTGCTGTTGGTCAAACCTTGGTCTCCGGGAGCTTGTCCAAGGTGTCAACATGCCAACGCCGCCAACCTGCTTCAGCCGAGATGCCACCTTGATGTGAGACCTCGGTTCATTCGAGATCCTCTGCCTTCAGTTCAGAACTTACACCGGGCACTGGGCTGCAAATATCACGATTGACCACATGGTCCGGACCTGAGCAGGCATCGCAGAGGAAAAGCTGGGAAGAGACCGTTTGCTGAATCATGGCTGGGCACCGAAGTTAAGGCCATAGACCGCCAGGGCCTTGATTCTTGCATGTTGCGATAAGCTGTATGAATTGCACAACACACTCCACAGTCTGCACACCTGCTGGTTGACTTCAACCGCCACAGAGTCAATCACGAAGCCAGCATACCTGGGTCCAGTTCTTGTCAGCTAGCAGCTATACTATACCTCAACCCCCCCCTAGCCACCGCACTGGCACTCCGCGGATTTACTTTCTTGCGCGGTGGCAGTCCATGTCTCGTATAAAGGATGTCCCAGGCCAAATGCGCACACGAGTCCTCCAGAGAAGCTTCCAAACCATCAGCGATAAGACCAAGGGCCGACCAAAGGCCCCTACCATTGACCATGGCCGAATGAACCTCGCAGTTGGTCTTCAACTGCCAAGCCAGTCCGGTGAAACAGACTCCGCTTCTACGCATTCTACGCAGGTACAGGCGGGCTCAGTTCTCGAAGGGTCACAGTCATCAGTCGATGGGCCTTAACTCGTCTTTTTTTCCTTCTTACCTCGAAAAAAGAAACTTCCAAGTTCGAGCTGCAGCTTTTTCGACGCTGCCCACTTGCAGAACTCGTCAAAGAGCACCTTGCCGCCCCCATTCTCGTCCTCAGACCAGGAACCCACGCCAGCAAGTCCCCAGCCCGCACACACACACACATACACACAGAGGCGAGACGAAGTGCTGCTTGGGCACCATGAAATTGAACCTTGCAGGAGTAGCTGGTGTCGGAAGTTCCCTCCGACTTTAGCATTAGCTACGGCTACGGCAGGACGTGACTCTGTATTTATCAGAACTCCGCTGAAACATCAATCCGAAGCTTTTGACCCCGTTCCGGGGATTGAGCTGGCACTTGCATTCTTGGCACTGCTCTTATTCCAAAGTTACAAGCCGCAAGAGCAGAGCTTCTGTCTTCTCACCCTTCTCACCCAACAGGCTTCTCTTCGGGCTGAGAGGCTCATCGAAAGCTTCAGCAGGCGTCAGCTTCAGACCGAGAACTGAACAACCTCCACGGAACTCGTTCAAGTCCTGCTGCAAGGTGCTGAAACTCGCAGGCGAAAAGACAGAATCTTACCGTTACCAGAATTCACGGCGAGCGGCCATGCGTCGGTCATCATCGACGTCCACCACCCTCGCAGCGTCGCAGCATCGACAGGGCCAGACCAAGTGCGAGGTGAGGCCGACTGAACCCCGGATCGCCCAGACAGACTCCTGGACTGGCTAAATGCGTCCCAAGCATCTCGTACAACGAATACAGCTTGTTAAAGTAGAACCTCGGTTCAGAGATGGGCAGCCTAAGAGCATGCTAGCAAACGCTTCGCTTCTAGTTCTGAGGCATGCCACATGTTTCGGAGAAGGGCCCTGAACTCCGTCCTTGCAGGCATGGCGAAATCATGCATAACAGCACAACTGGAACACTGCGTGTCTCAACCAAACCGTTTCACGGCACTCGCTTGCATTGCTGACGAGGTGCTTGTGCACGTAGCCATCCGGGTTGCGCTCTGTCGCTTTGTAAGCTCTCCTGGATAGTTGAAGTTTGGGCAGACACGTCATGCTTGGTACGCTGTGCCCCGTTGCCCCCAAAAAATACGTGCCCAGCAACATCAAGGCTGGCTTGTTGTTCGCTTCCGGAAAGCAGTCCTCAGAGCACAAGGCTCCTCTTGCCCGTCTGGAAACTCACCCACTTCCCCAGTTCCACTGGAAAGGCAATAATAAGGTTGCAAAGTTGGAAATAGATCCCTGTACCAAGGGTTTGCGTCGCGGATCCGTGACGCAGCCATCCATTTCCGCAAGGCTGACAAGGCCATTTCCGTTATAGTCCTCAGCCAAGCAAGCAGGCCGTAATTAGGCAAAATTGAAGAGTGGCGGTAGCGCACAAAGACACACACACACACACACACTTGAACACCCAGGCTTCTGGGAGGATGCATGCGTGTGGTGACTTCAACTCAGCGATACACTCAAGCAGTACGCTCAAGGCTCAACTGAGACCTCAATAAATTTTTTTCGCGGATCTCCAGGCTGGTTTACGCTACTAATCACCATCCATTGACCCAGTGCGAAGCAAACATTGAGGGTGTATTTGGGCGGGTCTTTGCAGGTACAAGGTTTGGCGTCCCAAACCTCTTCCCATGGTGTTGCTAGCTTCGTTGGCCAGCGTCACAACACCATGCGCTGGCCCCCTGC